ATCACCACAAAGGTCATTACAACAATTGACAAATCTGATATTGAAAACACTGTAGACATTCTAAAAACAAAAGATAAACAATCACTAATTCATTTGGCAAAATATATCTTTGAGTGCTTCAATTTAAGAAATGACACTCATAAACAAAAAATACCAGCTGCTTTATAATTACATGTAATATAACTTATTAAAATACCGTTTCTGTGTTTTTTTTCTAACCATTTCTTGTTCTTCGTTTTTATTTGATTTTATTATGTTTTCACTTTGTCTTCATTTGTATTTTTCGTCTTGCCATTCTATATGTATTTGAAACTTTATTGTATTTTAAAAATCCAGATCCTGAACAGGATATGATTTCAATAAAGGCATTACTTACTTACTTACGTCGAAAAAATTATTGCTGCAGTATATTATACAATGTCTAAAGTTTGAGTTTGACGCGTGATCACGATTATAAAGCTTGATTTTAACAAACTTAGCATTTTCTTCTAGCTTCATTGAAAATGATATTTTTTCCGTGTTTTCTCTTGCTGATTATACTTTGTCTTCAACTTCCTAACAAGTATGCAGATGTCCATTCTGAGCTTCAAATGGATTTTAACACCAGACTCTAATATTTTTGGCGATACTCGGCCCTTCTTAACACCTATAGAAAAACAACAGATGGCAATCAGGAGGTTCTTAAGTGTTTAGGATGCACAATACAATACATATAGCTTAGTACAGTACAATACATATAGCTTAGTCACGGTGGAATTTATAAAACATTAACCTCGGTGACCCCTCACGTTCCATTGAAATCAGCAGAAGTTGTCATTGACTGGAAAAGATCTTTGCTAACGGCTATTTACCCGTGAGCCTCAGTGTCATTCCTCCAGTCATGGCTTATTTACGCGGAACTTAGATCCCATCATATGCCTTCAAAATTGTACACTGTTACGTGGCACAACTGACCTATTAGAAACGGTATGGACAAGTATTAGACACGAGGTCACACAGGTCACGCACGAGGCATACTTGCAATATGTGTACAGTAATTAAGTGACTCAGATTCACGAAGATGTAATCGTCTTGTAAAAAAATAAATAAGTCAATACACCTCAATACTTTCACTGATTTACACGATATATGTATGCCATATTTTTTTGACTTCCAATTTTCTGAATGTCATTGCCAATGTCTGGTAGGCTGTGTTCGGTTATTGTGTCATGGTATAACTCGCGAAGAATCGATAACATTATTTAATCGGTAAGCGAGACAATTGTCACGTGATCAGCGTTTACCGTGACGGACAAATCAAATAATTACGATATTCATAATTAACAATTACGCGTAACTTTGTTTGTAACTGAAATATGACGCGATGTAACGTGGTATATACACATCTTAAATAAATGCACACATAATTATCTGGAACTGTATAAAATAGTCACTTTTCGTGTTTTTATGAACCACCCATTCTGACTTCGTGACTCTCAGGTTATTTGACTCACGCAATCGCAGAGCAACCATTATTTACTTAGTGTGACCTTTTTTTTACGTGACCTCATCTCTCAAATAACTTGTCACTGAATCTAGGCGAATCGGGGCAGAAGACTTAATACAAGGACAGGTCGACACCAAAAATACTCACGGTAACAGCATACAGTGCATAAGGTGAGTTTAGAAATTTCTTATTCCTTATATCCATGATTTTCCTTATATACACTCGTATATTTTATTTTACTGACCAGACACCATGACCGTGGCGGAGTAAGAAATCTACTTCAACGCCATCATCGAGTTCTTGACCGTGACGGTCGTCACATTCGATATTGACGGCTGTAAGGTCTGCATTTGCTCCTCGACACTCCTTTTCATCACACCCGGTCTTTCACAAAATCAAAATCAAAACAAACCCAGATGTAACATTATTCATATCTTGTACTTCACTTACATGGCCATGCTTTTACAAGTCGACTTTCAAATCCCACCCTAGACTCAGGTTGGTTAAGCTCTGGTAATTTTATTGTTTTATAAATATGATAATTACCATAAGGACGAATTTGTAAAAATCTTTTGGGCCAGACTAAGATTTAAAAGAAAAAAAAGAACTATAAAATGGCTATGACCAGGCGAGTCTAATCCCACCCATACAATTGTAAAGCATTTATTGCATAATACCATAATGCGGAGTACGTAGTATCCAATCAAACCGAAGAAAGGCGCTTGAATTACATATGCACTGAATAAAAGCTTGAAAACAATAAACATTGAGAGGGAAATATTTTTTTTACTCAAGGTTTCTGTCTCATTCTGCACATGGCGACCACATGGTTTTGTAAACTCGCATCAGGTTTAACACTTTGAGGGTCTGAAAACTTTGATCAAATAATTTAGTAATCACACGTAATGTGTAACAGGTTACGACAAGAAGCTTTCAGGAGTATTGAATTCACGCATTCACGAAAACCCGAAATCAGGTGGCATAGCACTCAGACACACAAAGAGTCTATTGAATCTCAGACTCTTCTATTGGTTGTCTGAGACTGAATTCACAGTATGCTTCTTATGGCATGCGTTACCGCACCCTACTATGGTACACTGATCAACAACAATGCGCGCGTCCACTCACTGACGGGCAAACAAACAACCGATGATGAATATTGATAATGTACATGTTCATTTAGTACAAAAGGCCATCGGCCTAGACATACTGGACATCAATGAGAAATACAGAAGTAAGCGCTATAGATCAGTTATGCAAGTTCAATAAGTCACGGCAATTGTAAATCAGCCACATGATCATCTCTTATTTTAAACGCCTCTACTTCCCCGGATTTATCAGGTGACAAGAGTGCACAGAAATTATAATTAGATCGTTCGAGTAGAAAATGAAATTCATCATGATCTTCGACTTGAAGACATTTCGAATTGCTTAACATACGTTTTCTATTTGGTCCGCAAATGTTATTTCAACGAAAAGTTTTGATGTTAAGTTGTGAACCAAGTTTCTAAATTTAGAGAGATAGTCGACCGTACTTACATATGGTTCCAATGAAAGTTATTGTCTGAACAGGCATGTGTTCCAAGTTTAAAGCGGCAGGGCCGTAACCTGCGCACGCGCGGGAATTGAGTCCCAACCGACGATAACAACACACGCTAAAACGCAAAGGCTCATGGGTAGACGCTTGTTTGTAAACAGTGACACACTATGACCATTCGGCGCATGTGCAGGTGACGACTCCCCCGCTTTAATTCTCCGCCCAGGGTTGGATAATGAATTATTGTGTTTATACGTGTGCCAAAAAACCGTTTCGAGACCAGCTTCGTTGAAATACGCGTGAAAAAGATAAGCCGTTGCCATGCCGATTTATTTTAGAACGTCCTAAAATGGCAAGTCTCGAACCGGCGCCCCGTACTTACAGAAACGCTAGTAGCGCTTGTGAACAATAACGCCGCATTAAAAGCACGCCCTCAATGTCCGCCATTTTAAATTTGGAGTCTGGGTTCTTGAGAACGCAAAATTGATGACGTCAACAAAAATTATATCTCAAAAGTAAATATTCATGGGATTTTGTTACTACTCTAAATATCGAAACATATTTTAGTATAAGATAATAATAATAATAATCAGTGAACATTCGTTATTTTATCTTCGAGTGCGAACGACTAGTTCTCGTCAACCCAAAATCTGTTAAATACGATATACAAATATTTACAATCAATCCCAGTCAAAAAAACAAACACATGTGTCTAAGTGTCCGAGTCTGACTAATTTCCTAAAGTACAATAGGGCTTTTGATAAGAGTTCCTTAGGGCCCCTCAGCCACGACTATAATCTTTCTTGCCAGATTCTCTCTCCCATTTTAATTGTAAATGCATATGGTTATCAGGAGGCACATATGCAATTACATTTGAGAGGAAGCTGGAGTGTTGGAGCTGGGTTCTTTTATATATATGAAACAGGAAACACAATGTTAAGAAGAATAACAGGTGGGGTTCGAACTCAGAGTTCACATAACCAAGGTTGCTCAGTGGAACTATCTGGAACACTAAGTCGGTCATTGTCCTTTTTCGCATTAAGAATTTCGTTCATAATTGTTGACATGACTTACTGAATGCCGTCAAAATGTGAGCAGCGGGTTTAAAGTCAAATAAAGACCCCTCCAGGAACTCTTCTGTATTTAATGTCTGAGGCCGTAGGAAAGGGTCCTAATGCCTCAATTTTATTTTGGACGTCTTATCCCAATGAGACGAGTTTCGTCCTATAAATAGTACGTGCGGCGATATGTCATAGGTTCCTTTATTCGAGTTCTCTGAACTTGGTCAGTGGCCAATGTTACTGTAACACGAGACGTTGAATTGTTCGAGGTACGAACATCGAGTTCCATAAATGACCACGCCCATATTTTAAAAACCACGCCCACCTTTGAGAAACCATGCCCAAATTGTAACACAGGATAGGTAATGTTAGGCCATTGGGTCACAGAGTATAGGTATCATGTATCAAGTTATAATGCTATGCAAATTGGTTAGGCAGGACAAAGTTATTTCTCTGTTTGGTATGTGTCACGTGATCAGCTTTTACACATTGTCTTGCGATATATCACCATGACGAATTACGTCATCGTCTGTTGGAATGTAATGGAATGTATTGTAATGCGATGCGATGTACTTAATGTAATACACACACGTCTAGAACATGGGATTATGATTACCGACCTTGACAGCGATTGCTACTAGTTTAGAAATTCAATTGTTTACGAACATATTTAGTCCATAAAAAAGAACTGAAAAAGCCGGATAAGAAAATTGCCAAGAATTACGTCATCCATACAGTTCTGTGAATACGGTCGTAATTTGTTACATCTGTGTATTAATTATTTGCAACCATTCTGTCTGACTTATTGATTATATGGAGCAATGCCATTGCATATAGTAACCATGAATTAACTTCGTATGGCCTTTATGTAACCCTATCTTTCCGCGACCCTTTTAATAAAATAACTTGTGGCCAAATCTGGGAGAGGCGAGGAAGGAGAAGTACACAGAGTGATCGGCTGCCGTTGACACCTAATCATACTCACGGTGCCCACATTTAGTATATTAGGTGAGTGCCGTATTTGGGTGTTATGCTATTAATCTTGAATCATTTCGGGAATGCCGAAGACATTGTGACCGTGGCATAGTAAGAATTCAACGTCAACGCCTTCCCCGAGTTCGTTGCGATCAGCACATTTAATACTGTTTACACGAGATACTTGTATTTCCTCATCGACACTCCAGTTCAAAATACGAGCACATAAAACCCACCGGATGCAACTTGATCCTCAAGTTCGTACCAGAGGCGGATCCAATCTGGAAAAATATAAGATTTTCTGTATTCAATTATTTATTTCTCATATATTTTATTATATTTGAAATTATTATTTATTTGATAGTTTTGGCCATTGTGAAAGCTCAAACTGATCGATATATGTGGCGTGGCAATAGTTAAAATAATCTAAAATGAAACGTAATAATAACAAAATAAAATACACGCTGTATAATTCGGGTGGATCTATGAATTTTCAAAGACTAGGAGGGGGGGTCTAGCATTTTTAAAATTACAATTGACATGTTGAGGGCGTTTTTACAACCCTGGGTGGTCAAAATAAAATGATATGCAATGAAATACTCTGGGACCGCATTGTACAATTATATCCTTTAGTGAACGGCTGTAGTCGAAGCAAAGATGTAGAAGCTCTACTCTCGTGACAGACAGTATTTACATTACAATTTTAACTGCAGTCGGATTGCCAACAAGTATCCACCCACCAACACCCCGTCTTCAGTCGAGTTGTAAACTGAATTAAATTTCAATCACGAATACAATTATCATGCTGCGAGGCAAACTACCAACTATAATGGTAACAAGAGTTGCAATGGGAATAACTTCAACAATAACGACACATATATACTTACTACACGTAAATTGAAGCAAAACGAACGTTAGCTCAGACAACTATATGCTACGCCACTGGTGGCGCTGTATACAATCGAAACCTATTTAGGCTTGCCAACACTCAGTGTGAAAAGAAACACTTGTTAAATTTGGTGACCAGTTTAGTATGATAGAGAGCATGTACGGTCTTCAAATAATCACAATAGACAGAGTGAGGTCAAGACAGAATATACGTGATTGTGGCGTTTCAAAATAACTGTTTTTTATATTAATAATTGCACTTTAAAATAATATTCATGAGATATGTCCACGTCAAAACTTTATTAAAGTTATTAGCATATTGTGTACGTAATACACAAGCTTCGGACCGGGCCCTTTTCCCGTATATTTTCAATATTGAAGTTTACGTTCCATGCAACGTAACGTTCAGCACCGTCAATGGGTTTGGCCTTACTGAAGGCGCAGAACATTGTGTTTGTATTCGAAGCCCACACATAAGCGACGCTACCAGAAATATATAAATACAAGCTAACAAGCCACATCAACCCAGCGACTGCTGAGGATTTGTACACATTCCCACCATTCCATACGATGTAATACGCAATTAAAATTCTGGTACCCCCTTAACTCTGGATGCTATTCAGTGCAGTATGTATACCATTTGTTGCCGACCACATGGTTTTACAAACAAACTGGTGAAGCCTGAAGTTTAAAAACATAATCAGTGTCGTCAAAATGGTTTAATAAATAGCGATGTGAAGTGTGAACAACACAACACACAACCACATTGGGTTGTGGAAATCTATCCAAGTGTTTTGAACTCAACGTCTACTTTTTGGTGCCGTGTGTAACTTCACCCCCACACACGGTCCGTATATACAATCATATACCAGATTATCAGCTATACCACCATATACTAGCCTATACAGTTACTAGCATATTACAAGCATATATCATAACCAATATATACAAGATATACCTTATAACTAGTCAAACTAGCATATACTTGATTACAAACTACACCAGCTGATACCATAACCAGCATATACAAACATATACTAGTTTATATCAGTATCCACCAATCATATACCAGTATATGTCTCATATGCCAGCATTTACCATTACCAGTAGTAACATTTACCGGTATACATCAACATATACCATATCAAACTATCAAATACAAAAATATATCATTACCAGTACATTTGACAGTTTTCGATCTGGTGAGTGTTCAATAAACATATTATCGATTGGTGATATGAAGAAATAGTATACTTTCAATGACGTTTATTTGCGATACCATTTAGCGTCGCACGTTTGTTTGTCGATAAAATCCGAATATCCGAAAAATAACAATTTTAAGAATACCAAAAAGATTAAAATGCCATCACAAAGACTGAAGACCAAAACCAGAAAAGCTATTGGCCAACAGCTGACCGGTGCAGTGTTGATCTACAAGTTTTCATTATCTACATTACCAGGGAGAGTTGTACTAGTAATAGGCTAAGCGATTGTCAAATGTCGATTTTCAGCGCGTTAATGATTTATCTGGTACGCATTTTTCTACATAACAATGAAACAAAAGAATTCTTTTCATGCACGAGAACTTATTTGTTTTTCTGATGCATGTACAATTCACGGTTCATTTGATTTTACCATCTCAGGTAACAGCCAATATTTCCAAATTGTCACTATGATGTCACTGATGTTAATCTGCGCCTTGTTGCCGGTGGTAGCCATGGCAGCGGTTTCTAACGCGGGATGTGGTTCAACCAAGGCATGTTTCAAATCACCAGAAGGATGTACGTTGTACACGGATTGTACATTTTTCCTATCATACGTTGATAACGCTGAAATGTCTGCAGTAGATTTTGAGATGTTGGCTGATAGGTCTGGTACCGATGGCAGTGGATGGGCTGGCGTGGGATTCTCGACTGACAAATCCATGGTAAATATCAATTGCTACAATCATCGTTTGAACTGTCTAACAACCTTCTAGTGTTATTTTCAAGTTTGTTATATATATATTAAGTTGTTAAGTACATACATATACATATACTTAACAACTATATACTATATATACTTGTTTTGTTCACATTTCAATTTGTTGTCGGATCTCCATGACAACAATAATTAATGTCTTATCGTTATAAGTGTACTAGTGTCCAACTTTATATGTTACACATTTCAGTAACGCTGTTGCACTAAATATTCATGTATTGAATCATTTAGCAAGAAAGTTATCAAATATATCTGTATTCCCCCTCAAAAATATCAAAGTCAACGTCAATATATTAGGTCATAATTCAGCAAAGTAATTCTGATGGTTTTTTTACAGGGTTTTACGAATTACGTATTTGCATTACATACTAAAAATGACGGACAATTTTACCGGTGGTAACAGAGTCAATTTTAGCAAATACGATATATAACTTATGGCATGGGCTGACAACCGTAATTCACACAAACGAAAACATTCAACACTATAACGAAGTAACTCAATTGACGTTTTGATTATCTACACAGGTTGTCATAGATTAATCTTTTTAAAGGGCCGTGGTCGTCGCACCACGTCCTTTCCACATGAGACTCACAGCAACGTATATAACGCGTGTAAAATACATTGTTTGTTTACTAAATGTCGACACTCGCTGCGCGATGACCACCGCTTTTTAATACTCTGAACAACCTCCATCACTCGTGAGTTGTACCATACGATATTAAACATCGTTTTACTGATGACGTTGAACACGTCACTGTAACAGATAAGATAATTATGATGACACTGATAAGTGATAATGTGGCAACAAAACTACATAAATCATGTGTTGGCCTATGGACTATGTTGTATGGCGTTAAGACCGTGTTCGGGTTCAATGATGCCGGTGGTTATACATGTTGTACGTGCTATTGCTTTTTTTAGATCCCCTTCACCCAGAGTGAACATTGTTTCGGACTAATAGTATAAATATCACAAAGTTGTCACGGTATCATATGATGGTCAATGTCCCACATTCCCTGGGCGTTCATTTGGTTCATGGTTACGACATACGTTGTCGTACTGACAAACATACTGATTTTTTGTTCTCACAGGGAAGCGACAGTGTTGTTATGTGTATGAAACCAGCTAGCGAAGAGGGCGCTGTTCAAACCGCCTTCACTACTGGTACTACTAATGCTCTGACTGGCACTGTGAGTATTCTGGTATTCACTCGAATATTTCCACAGCAACTGGAATATGTAAATTTGAATTACTCTAATACTGCTTTATTGCTTCATATTTCAGGATGGTCTTAGTAACGGCGTAGTAACAGTTACTAACAACATTTTGGAGTGTAGCTTCACACGTAACTACTCCATTAACGGCAATGCCAACTTCTATGACATAGAAAGTACATCGTATTACTTTTTAATTGGAACAGGTCCAATTACGTCAGGTAAAATCAAATTATCTTGTGCATTCTAGTTTCCATTATTGTGTTGAGGATGTAGTAGAATTCATCATAGTAGAGGCAGGACAACAACTTCCATATTGTATTGTGTAATAGCGTGTTGACTACTGTAAAAGTGTCAAGCAGGGAAAATATGGTTCTGCGCAATTCGAGTCATCCTCCGCACAATATATTAAATTCAGACATGTTCACAGTTTTTGTGTCTCGATTAGTTATTGATGAATTTAATCAGTTGGAGTCATCAAACTATCCGGACTCAATTTCTGTGACGTGTATAAAGACCGTGTTGCCATAACGCAACCATCTGAAAAAGGGGAATTGTGACTGAATTCTGCTCCAGGAATAATGATTAAAATCATTTTGTTCGATCGTATCACTCATAAAGTTAGACATTCGACGTCTCACTCTGTCTGCAGCAACATATTTATGTTGTATATCCAGGCAAATAGGTTTAAATTCCGACGGCAAAGCCTTATATGCATTTAGTGAATTACATACATTACATTAATATCACAACGAAATTGTCTTTTGTTTTGTTTGTTGAAAGCGGCAGGGTCGTCACCTGCGCACGCGCGGGAGTTGAGTCCAAGCGATATTAACAACACACGCTAAAAACGCAAAGGCTCACGCAAAGGCATTTGTTTGTAAACGATGACACGCTATGGTCATCTGACGCATGCGCAGATGACGACTCCCCCACTTTAATAATTAGTATGGTATTTTTCAGCAACTTAGGAAAGGGTATTGGCATCTAACATTAATTGTTTTGCTGAAATATTTTCTGTAATATTAGGGGAAGTTCCCTATTTTCTAAATATATTATTCCATAGCGATTTTATATATTAATCACATTGCACAAAAATGTGTAAAACTGTTTCTTCGGCATTGTTACAAAACGTGCGTAGACTTGCGGTTACACGAGAAGGTCTCATACGGAAAAGCATAAAATTATTGTACAAAATATTATGATAATTAGTTCCCATTGGAATTCCTGAAGTTTTAATTCTATTGTAACTGTAAATGGGAGTAAATACTTTCTTTCCACTCTTTGTCCCCACCATCAAATAAAGATTGCTAATATGTTTCGCCTCTCGGGGATTAATAACACCTAAAAGAGCAAACTTATTCTCAATAAACATACCAATTGGTAGTTCTGGTCAAACACAATATGATTTACATGACTTCCATTTTGCGGGCAGAAAAGAAAGTAATTCTCAATAGAGAAAATGTGTTTTGTTAGCCCTGTGAGATGATAAGACACCCATGCTTTTGGATACCCAGCAGCATCATACAAGTCAGTAATATAAATAACCCCTTTGGAAATGAAGTCAAGGTACCATACACTCCTGTCATTTATGAGTAGTTTAGACTCTTATACAAAATTGATAGTTACTTCTGAAGATAATGCTACCTCCAAGGGGTTTAAGATATAAAAAGAGAAGTTTTGTCCAAAGATCGGTGATAGGTGGGTCTAGGAAACTTTGAATCCACTTGGCCCTAAAGCACGACACTGAACGAAAATATCTAATAAATTAATGCTCTCAGCAATATCACCAATCATAGTGTTTCTTCCACCTTGTCTGGCCCATTCCAAATAAATTTGTTAATAAATCTGTTTATGGTTTTAATATCAATATTTTAACAACCATAAGATTAAACAAATAAAGACATTCTGGAATTAGCAGTAATTTAATTATTTGTGTTTTACCTATAAATGAATATTTTCAGAGCAAAGCTGCAAGCATTACTTCAGCGAATCGAATCATCCTTCAATATTTGATTCATATGCTTGATCTTTCTTGTAACAAAAATACATTACAATAATTTTGATTGGTGATATTGGCCAGAGGATACTATAGGGATTATCCGTACGAGATTTCAACACCAAATCCACATGGATTGTATACAATGTAAACACATTATCACACAACATTTATTATTTTCAAGATGATTGAAATAAAAATAGATTTAAAAAAAAAACTGCCTCTATCGCTATAAATGGCCCTTTTTCTTGGCGGCGCTACGGTGATCTGTGACGTCATTCGTATTTACGTCTCTACTTTTCTGAACCGCTGTGAATACAAAATACTATGATAAGGTGATGTGCAGTTGGTTGCTATAGTGATTCAAGAACAAGTTCACAGAATGACAAAACATTAACAATTTCAAATAGTGTTTCGCCATGTGCTATTGTTGACAACGTAGACACAGTTCATACACGTTGTACATTAGTGATGAAAGTCTACGCATATGAAAAATAAAACGCACTAAAAATATTATGTCTGAGCAATTTAAAAAAAAAAAACATATCGTTTGAGTTGTCATTGTGTTACATCTTGACAATTAATTATTAACGATAGTTTGTTCAACTCTATTTCTAGGTACTCCAACAGAACATGAGGATTACCCATGTGCCAGTGATATGAAACTGGACATCACCAGTAAAGATGACATCATGTGCAGTGACGCTCATCATAGCTCAGAGGAGAGCAACAATGTCGCTATCATGTCACCAGGTACGCTACATTATATTTTGTTATATTTCTCATTCGCTTTTATCGTTGAGGGCGACCTAGTTTATCATAACCTTATCAATATCGTGATATCATTGCGTACGCTTGATTCGCGATTAGACGAGTGGTTTTTCCCGCTGCCACACGTCAAAATTTTCCTGAATACAAGGATTGAATAAGTTTTTCTACTGAACGTATTTTCTTTCTATTTCAGCTGCACACCTGATAATTTTTATGTGTGGACTGGTGATGGCTCTGTTTTACTGATCGTTATTTTCAATTACAAGGCAAGATAACTGCAGCTATTTCAAATAAATTTAGTGTCGGACAATTTTACTTAACAGGAATTTTGAGATGACTTTATTTAATCAGTAGGTGACTACTAATGTGTCAGTCACATAGCCCGTAAATACAGTTTACGATATAATAGTACCAGTTTAGAATATTTGTATTTGGTGGATGCAGGTCGATATAAACAAGTAATTGATGTACACTCCCACTGGGAATAATGGGATTTATGTAAAACTCGACAGATTAAAATTCTAATTCTGAAAAACAATGTGTGACCTCACCGTGTCTGAACATGGATGCTACTATGTATGAATTGTAATTGATCACGTGACATATACAGTAGGTATATATGTTATAGTTCCATTTCGAAGGTCATTTCTGCAGATTGTTTTAAACGTTGACACAAATTTGAATACACCTAATCAAATTTGAGTACACGCTGTCAGATATGGATACACACTATCCGTTATGAGTACACCCTGTCATATATGGATACAGCCTATCGGATTCGAATACACCTTATTAAATATAGATACATATACTACGAGATTTGGGTACACTGAAAATCTAAGTGTTTTCAAATATGTCACATTTTGTCCCACTTTAAAATCATTTCTAGTGTTTTATAATTACACACATTAAGTGTTTTTCTTAAAATCGCAATTGTTTTTACAATGATTATACTGTTTCACTGTTTTGTGGTAAACACATTTAACGTGTTTATAAGCGTGTCCCCACTTTAAAATGTGTTTACAATCTGCAAAATTACAAAAAGTATATTTGATGAAAACATTTGCAGTTAGTGTTTTTATTGCAACATGTCAGGGATGTTTTTGCACATTATGACAAGTTTTCTCCAATAGAAACACGTATCCGACATTGAGGCTTCGCAAATAGAAAAATAGCTAAAAAGAAAATGAATCTAATGATTAGATCACAGGGAATTAGCGCTGCGTCACCCAGTTTACCAACCCGAGCATTGATAACAAAACCGTGCATGTTTAATTCCACCGGTTATTAAATTTGTGACAGGTACATGGTAGTATAATATATAAAGCCGTTTATTATTGAAAATTTATCACTACATGTACAGTATGTCTGCTGACAAATGTGACGTGTGTGAGCATTTGTTTCTAAAACAATATGCTGCATACAGTCGATAATAAGTGCTGTGTCTATTATAGATGCATAACGTAGACGGCATACAAAAGTGTCCTGTATATAATCGGGTGTTTTTAGGTTGAAACATTGCATGTGTTTTTGTTTCAGGAGGTGCTATAAAATAAAACAGTTTGGAAACAAGTGTTTTAATTACTCTTTTGAACGAGTGTTCATGTCGTACACATAAACACTAAAGACGAAACATGCACAGTGGGTGTTTTAGATTGAAACGTTTCATGTGTGTTTGTTAACTAAAGTATTTCAAAATAAAACATTTTAGAAGAAAAGTGTTTTTAGTTTCTCCTATGAACTCGTCTGCATGTCATATGCATAAACACTTATAAAACATGCATAGTCGAGTGTTTTACCTTGAAATGTTACATGTGTGTTTGTTTTGAGAAGTGCTTCATGATAAAACAATTTGGAAGAAAAGTGTTTTAGATACTCTCACAAACTCAAATATGCCTCATGGATTAAAACTTTGCAAAACGAAGTAATTAATTCACCACGTGTCTCGATTTCTGGTTGTACTTAAAGGTTGGTAAGATCATATAAGCGTACATACAATTAATTATTCTGCAACCTGGTGCTTGACTTTAAATTATTTTTAAGGTAATTTCATGACCCACCTCATTATACATTGAATTACGCCACCTTCAGTGATTATCTAGTTGGAAGATATGCCTTAATGTTTACTTGCAGTAACCAGACGTGCTTGCATAAAGCTGGATGCTTAATACTACATGCATAAAGTTGGATGCATTATTCCATAAATGTCATATCAATAAACATTTCAATGACACACCCAGTTTTTTTATTTTAAAAAAGTGTATTTTTGTGTGTTAAAAAGGAAGTCAAGCCAAACATTTTTTTTCTTCAAATTTTCAGTGTGCATATCACTCGTGTGTATAATTATAGTCATGGAAATATCTAGAGAATGAAAAGTGATATGAAAAAGCTGTAAATTGCATGTTCTTACATTTGCAGAGCTAACTCGCCTGGGAGTATTATGCTGTTAGATTTTCTTTTAACAGTGCGCTTAATTTTCATCGAAACGTGTTTATGCTAAAACACTACTGTTTTGATATAAAAATCAGTTGTTATATTAAATAATATACATGTTTTTAATCACAATAAATTGCAATTAAAGTGGTGTTTTTTTTTATGAAATACATGAAAGTGCTTCCAAACTTTACAGTGAACGCCCTTACACCCTATGGGATATTTGTAAGCCCTGTCAGACTCAAGTGCAACTATTGTCACGAGTTAAATACAGGTATAATAGCGAAAAAAGCCAAATTATAATAAAGCCATTTATGGATGAGTCGCCATGATTCAATGTCGTCGGCGAACACGACTACAGTCATTTCAGTTACAAAACTATATAATTTAACAGTGTGAATGACAGAACATTTATACAGTCTTGTGATTGGTTGTTGATACATTCTGAATAGGCCACGCCTCCAACTGTGCCGTGCTTTCCGGGCAA